GCGCCTCCTCTGCCTCTGACCGCCCGGAGCAGCTCTCCCTTCTCAGGACCTCCCCCAAGCACCTGGGGCACAGCCTGGAAGCCACTGTTGTCTTAGCAGCTATTCCAGGTCAGAGGTAGGACCACGGAGACTGACTTTTACAGATGGGGAGAATGGGGCCCAGGGAAGTCGTAAAGCCAGTGAGTGAGGGGCAGAAAGGGAGCAGAACCCATACAGGGGAGACTCTCTTCTACACAGACTGTCCTGCGGTCCACCCTCCATGCCCCTGCCCCTCCTCCCAGCCTCTCGCTGCCGAGTGCTCCCTGGAGGACCACTCCCCCACCAGACCAACAGACGCCCTTATAAACAGGAGGTGGGGAAGGCAGGCCTCACTGGGAGGATGACACCTGATCAGAGACGCAGGGTACGACCCATCTGCCACCCCACAGTGGGGCCAGCCACTGCTAAGGGCCTCGACAGTGCAGCGCCCTCACTGCCTTTGAGGAACAGCAAGATTAGCATGGCCGGCGTTACTTGATGCAGAGTGAAGGAGACGTGATATTTGTGTACATGCACGATGTATGTACAAGGTCTGTCCTCACATCACTGTTTACAGTGACAGTAGTTTGGAAATAAACTGAGTCCCTCAGATAGGGACTGGTTTAGCGAATTATGGTATAGGCATATAATGGAATACCACACAGCCTTCACAGAGAATGAGGATGCTGTCTAGGTAAAAACATGGGACAATCTACGATCTTCATTAAGTGAATAAAGCAAAGCATGGAACAGTATATGGAACAAATTGCACTTGGGTAAGGGGACAGGAAGAATAAATACTGGTGACATAAAATTTGAACCCAGGCCTATCCCACTTACTGAAGGCGCACTGTTTCTACTACAACCACAGATTTAGACATTTTTCCAAAAACAGTACTTGAAAGATCCCGGTGTTTTGTGTCAATATTCAGACCACATACCACTTGGAGGCTATATACCAACATTTGCTATTGCTCACGTGGCTTCCTTCACGCGAGCGCCCTCTTTATACACCCAGAAATCCGCTGCTCTCCATGATGTCCCCACCCGGCACCCATCTTCAGTCCTAGGACACTGCCTGGGGGGGGGGGCCTCTGGACAGTACTTACTATTTACTGACACAATGATGTGAACACTGCTGCAGTTATCACCATACCGGCACTCAACGTTTAAAATAATTATGGTACTAGTTTTGGTTTCAGATACCCAGTTAATCGCCTGCCCACTCAGAAACCAGTGCATCCTCACATTAAGTTTTTATTAATCAGTTATAGGATCTCTAAAGGATCATGAAAATTAGGCAGCTTGCCCTAACACCCTCACAGACTGAGGAAAGTAGAACTGGTGCTGTGGACAATTCTAGGATCTGTGGAAAACCATACATGTTAATGGACAAGACACCTGAAATAGGTTACAATGCAAACGTCACGATGGTCATAACAAGACTGGCGCTCAGCACTCCTGACGTGCACTGGACAGTACAAGCATCATCAAGCACAGCCCTCAGGGCCACGGTGGGGGGCTAAGCATTTCAAGTATTCTGTTTTATAAATGAGGACACATGAGACTCATCCAAAGGCACACTGAGTTAAACTCAACTCCACCAACTCTGAAGTCTGTGTTTTAATTTAACTGTTTACACCAATGCTGCCTTTTGCAGACAGTACAGACAAAACACATAGTATATGAAACAGAATCAAACGTTAGCGATATTGTCTCAATTCTCATTTTACTGATTAGGAAAATAGAGTTCCAAAGAAGTGATATGGCTTGCGTTTCCTGAGGTTTTTTTTTTTCAATCAAATATTATTTAATGACAGCTGTGCATATAAATGTAGTTGTATTAGCATTAATATTCAAATCCTGGTGGCTCTGAGCTCCCACCTGCATAACTTCAAAGTGTTATCACCTCCCTCCGCAAGCCTCCCTCAGTTGTTGCTGGGGGACACTGCAGGTGCCTCATGTGTCCTCAGGAGCAAACCTGACCCGCTCTCCTGCACAGACTGTGGGCCAGTCAAGGAGGCGCCATGCAGACAGGACCCTCCATCCGGCCTGAGGGGGACTGCCCACCTCGAGAACTGCCCCCTGGCCCCATCCCACACTGCCACTCAGTTCTAGCACTACACTGACACTGTGTGGGACCTGACCCCAAAGCGGGCCTCCTTGAGCTGAGTCTCACCACGACTTGTATTAATGCTTCTCGGTCAGCTTCTGCCCCATCCCCTCTCCCATCTAGGCCAAAACCCAATTCTTCAGGCCAGTTTCCTGTTTTTATCTACAGATCTACAGTTTTTATCTACAGATCTTTCCATTACATCTTCTGGGATCACCACGTAGATTGTGAAATATGCTCTGTAAGGGATTGTAAGAATTTATGAACTGGCAATTCCTGCAATCTCAAATGGAACCAGTACGGCATTTCAACTCAAAAGACCTGGGTTTGAGCACAAATGCTAATTATCCTTATGACAAGTCTAAAATACTTGGAGCAGTCTTAAAATAGCCCAGAGGGCTTCTTAATCCAAATCTCTAAAGTGAGAAAACAGCCAACTGAAGAGTTCTACTCATCTAGCTGGAGGGCTGCAGAAACAGGGCAGATAACAGATCATCATGCGTATAGCTGGTGGAAGACATGATGCAACGGATACTTTACACTGTGAAGGAAGAGACACGGGGACTGGGGCAAAGTATGAGTAGAGAGATACCGACCGGGCTGTTTTAGAGGTAAGAGGGGGTAAAAGGAGGCTGCCTTAGGGTGACAGAAAATTTACCTGCACAGAATGGAGTCACACCTCCCTCCAGTACACAGGGCAGATCCTGCTAATTAATCCTGGTCCTCTTTCCTGATGAGCCCATGGCCAGCCCCATAATCCTTCATTCTGAGGATAGACATGAATAGGGGTCAGACTCGGCAGGTGAGAAGATGCCTTTTTGTTCTCTCTGGCTATCTGAACGGCAAATATTAGACCAAATTAAACCCACTTCCCAGCAGCAGAGATAGCTCCTTGTATCAGTCTGCAGCACGGTGCTTCCGACACACTAGGTTCTCAAAGAAACCTGCTCTTGTAACTAGACGAGAGATCGGTAAACTTTCTGTAAAGGGCCAGACAGTAAATATTTTAGCCTCTGAGGGCCATATGGCTTCTGTCACAAGAATTCCATTCTGCTGCTGTAGTGCAAAAGTAGCCAAAAATAACATGTAAACAAATGAGTGAGGCTGTGTTCCGATAAAATTTTATTTACGGGCACTCGAATTTGAATTTCATATATTTTACACATGCCACAAAATATTATTTTGACTTTTGCCAGCCTTTTAAAGATGTAAAAACTATTCTTAGTTCATAGGCTGTAGAGAAACAGGTGGCGGGAGGATTGACTCACAGACGAGTTTGCTGAGCCCTGGACAGAGGTTGAGGTTCCACTTACTCTCCAACGTGCAGATCTCAAACTATGTTAACTGCGCAGGCCGCAGCTATATTACTTTATCTATTTCAGCTGCAACCTTATTTTTAATTTACGTTCATTCACTCCGTTCAAGCACGCACACTTGGCACCTACTTAGATTCGGGCAGAGGGCAAGATCCTTGGGACACTGAAGGGACCTCAGACATGGCTCTTTTCTCAAGTTCTCACAGTGTCAGGAAAGAGGTCCAGCGAAATATCAGCAGTGTTGGATGAGATCGTTTGTATTAGAGTCTTAGGGCTGCCATAACAAGTTACCCCCAACTGGGTGGCACAAAACAAGCTTATTCTGAGTCCCGGAAGCCGTTATGTCTGAAACCAGGGTGTGAGCAGGGTTGGTTCCCTCCGGAGGCTCTCAGGGAGAACGGTCCAGGCCTCTCCTCCAGCTTCTGGTGCTGCCGGCGACTCTGGGCTCCTCGGCTAGCAGACACACTGCTCCAATCCCGCCTCCATCTTCACACGGCCTTCTGCTCTGTGTCTGTTTCCCCTTCTTTTCTCTTATATTGAGTTTAGGGCCCCATGTAATCCAGGACGGCCTTATCTCCAGATCCTTGACTTAATTTCAGCTGCAAATACCCTTTTCCCAATGAGGTGGCATCTCCAGGTTCCAGGTGCACGTATCTTTGAGAGACAGGGCACTATTTAACCCGTTACAACCCTCTTATTAGAAGGTGCCTAGAAAGAGGTGGCTCAGGTATATCCCAAAGGTTTCGCCAAAGTGACACAAGCTGGTCCTTGAAAACTGAGAGCTGCTCTTCATCAGACGGACACATGGGAGGACATGAATGACAGGCTCAGGGACCAGCCGGACCCGAGTTACGGAAGTGTGACACTGCGTGGAAGGATCTGAGCAGCACACAGTTGAGCCTGGCTGGGAGCACGGTGTGGGTGCGAGAGAGTGAGGCCACAGAGAGGTCAACAGGGATTCCATCATGAAGGGCTGTGGGCATGGTGACCTGACACTACCAAGCCAGGTTTGGAGGGAATCCTCTGGGGTTTTCTCCCATAGTTAACTGTTAAACTAGCATGGGTAGGCCAGACAACCTTTAAGCAGCTTCTCCCAATCAGGACACTTAAGACTTCATGATTACGGTTTTAGGATCTTAAAGCAATAAGCATGCGAGTTTCCTACCACTAGTGACACTGCGGCCCCGTCTCTCCTAGGAAGTCCCTCGTATACTCACTATCCTCCCAGTAACAAGGACTGTTCTCCCTCCACACTCTGCTTCAAGTTGCTGCCTTCTCGCTCCTGGAAAATGCCTATCAAGCAAGAGTGTAGTTTTCCTTGTTACTACATCCATACAAGAGTAAATCAAGGATAAAAGTCAAGTATGACAAGATCACTAGTCTTACTGCACTTAGCAAGATTTTAAAAGCAATTAAAATGATAAAAAAGAAAAAGACCCAGCCCTCCCCTAAAAGAAGGAAAAAATACGCAATGTGTATATACATTCCATAAAAATATACATGGGGAAATCTCTAGAAGCCTAAAAACAAAACACCAGTAAACCAAGCCACACTTAGAAAAATGAAAGCTGATTTTTATTTTATCAACAGCCATTCTTTAAACATGAACATGCATACGTAATATTCTACGCACACATCACAGTTTTTAACATTAGTTAATAAAGGTTAAACACACAACATACATCCTTACAAAAAAGTCAAAATGCAAACTTAAAACTTTAAACAAAAGTCTTACTAATTTAAAAAAAGTTTGTGTTGGGTACCATTTGTACAACACAGTTAATTTAAACATTTTCATTTTGGCTGCACATGAAAAAAGCGGCAGTAGAAAATAAAGTCATTGAGGGTTTTTAAATAGCAGAATAGGCAGTTTTGCCATGCAGGAGAAGCAATATTAAATATTAGTCTTCAAAAAAAATCCACATTTAAAAATATTTAGTTCAAGTCACAGAATTTTTCTCAGTAGAGACCCCAATGCAATGCATAATTAGCTGCCTTAGATGGCCTGTTTGAAAGGACAACATCCCTTCAGAGTATAACTTTACTGATTTTGGCACAGAAAAGAAGTCTTAAGAACAAGAATATGATTAAAAAAGAGGGAGAGGAACAGAGGAAAGAAATAAAAAGCAAGAGTAAATGAGATAGTAATTGCAATCACTAAAAACTGTGCATTCTCAGTCACTGCAGAATACTGTCTTCTGTCTACAGCAGGTGCTTATTCCAGAACTGTTATTGCAGCATGGATTTAATCTGCTTGGAGGTAGTCTCATCATTCAAATGTTTTGTTGTGTACCTAAAAGGGAAAAAAACATCAATGTCAGGGAGTTAAAAAACAAACAAACATAACCTACATCAGGTTCTATAATTATGGTAAGAGAGGCAATTGGCCAGGCAATCTTCTCTCACAAAATTATGCCTTTTCATTCCAGCTTTAACCCTATTCAGGTCCTGCTAGCTTGTGCTCCTCTCACCTTTTAAACAGAATATCCAATGGCTGTTTAACTTATTTAGAACTACCTTGTTGAAACTACCTGGTTAAATTCTAAAGTAACTTCTCACTCAGAGGAAAATAATTGCTGTCCTATATCAGGAGTTGGCAAATTAGAGCCTGTGGATCAGATCCAACCCACCACCTATTTTTGTAGGGCCTGTGAGCTAAGCATATTTTTACATTTTTAAATGGTTGGGAGAAAAAGTCAAAAAATAGTATTTCATGTTAACGTAGAAATTACATGAATTTCAAATTTCAGTGTTTATAACATTTTACTCGAACAGAGCCATGCTGATTCATTTAAGTACTGTCTATGGTTACCTTCTTGCTACAACGGCAGAGCTGAATAGCTCTGACAGACAACACATGGTCTAAAAAGCCTAAAATACTTGCTTATTCTTTGGTCCTTTACAAAAAAAAGTTTGCCAACCCCTGTCCTATTCTGTATTTAAGACAGTTCAACTATTTCAGTTCTGTCATATCTCAAAATGTTTCGATTCTCTAAGTGCCTTATTTCCAGGCAGATGTGCTTTGTTTTAAGTATGTAAATGCAAATTAAGAACCTAAAAAAGAATCACTAGGAGTGATTATTATTTTACGAGAAGATTCACCATAGGATTCTTTTTAATGGCAGAAATTCAATAAGCAGGCCTGCTGTGTGTCAGGCACTGTTCCAGGAGCTTACCACCTAGCAGAGGGAGAAAGATAATACGCTACCCCTAGAGAAGGGGTATTAGGAGCAAAGGAGGAAAGTACTGGTGGGGCCTTAGAGACAAAGAAAGACCAGGTCACGCAGACACTACAGGCCATAGTGAAGAGTTTCGAGATTATTCTGAGGTTAATGAAAGCCAGCGGAGGATGCTGAGCAAGGGGGTGATGTGCGGTTCCTCTCCGGTTGCTGAGGGAGAAGCGCAGGGAGAAGGAACAGCAGGGGACCAGCCGGGGACTGGGAAGGCCCAGTGACCCAGGCTTGCACCGCATTAGGAGCGATGCCTGAACGGGGGGCACATTTTGGACATAATTCACACAGAACATTAATGCTGGATCAGTCAACCTGGTTCACAAGCATTTCACATATCTTTAAGAAATGTATCTCTTTAAGCAGATACACACGGATGGTCTCTCTGTGTTAAAGAAATTTAAACTCAATTCTCGTCAGGTTCCTTTCAAATCAATTTAAAAACTGAAGAAAGTACCTCAACTCAAGTAAATCCTCAGAGAGGTAAAGAGACAAATATGTGCTTCAGTAAGTCTGTGATATACTCTACAATTTTACTCAGAGGTCACCTCCATACTGTTCTCGTATTACAGAACAAGACACCAGCCTGGCACATAATAGGTACTCAATTAATATTTGTGGAAGGAAGACAAGAAGCTAAGCAGCCAGCCTGAAAGAAAACTCCATAAGGGAGAATTTTTACACTAAGTGGTAGGTGATGTAGCAAAGACTTAACCCTTCTGTTTTATTTCCCAGGTGCAGATAACGTATATATCGCTATACATCGTCCTACTGATGTCAGGAAATAAGAATTTTCAACATCCATTCCTTCATTTCTGTTGTTTCCATCTCCTTTACACAGCTGCACAGTGGAAAGAGCCAAGTAACAGGCACGACAAAATGTCAAGCGCAGAGTAAAGCATGACTAATCAGCAGTGGACTGTGCCCATGCAGGAGTGCTGAGTGCCTTCCTCTCTACTCAGATATGAGCTCTCGCTCCCCCCGAGGGATGTGATCACAAGCTTCAGCAGTTCTCAGAGCCTCCTGGACAGAGCCAATCCAGAGGCATGTCGCATCATCATCACGCTCTTATCAAGAAAAGGCCAATGGCATCTAACATACGTGAAAATAATGTATGAACATGTATGGTATTATTTTACTTTATGCATAAACACAAAGTCCTTTTCCAAGTGCATATGACTTTTCTACTGAAGAAAAGCAACTATTATTTACCTTTCTTTTTAAACTTAATGAAGAAGGCAATTATCTAGCACTGAACCCAACTCCCAGCTCTAGCTTTCATTTTCTCTTTTTTAATCAAAGGCACTTGGTTCCATTTCGCCACCTGTAAAATGTAGACATGGCTCATTGCTTTCTCTTAAGCACATAGTATAAGCTGGTGGGAACTGTATCATTACCACAGAAAAGCACTCAAAATAGGCAACGTGTATATATATGCAACTACACTCCTATTTGAAACCTGGCTCTGAGGAAAATGAAGTGAGCATCTCTAATAAATAAGCTATTCACTAAAAGAGAATAATGCAGCAAAAATGTGTTCCATTTTGTAGAGGCAGAACTAACAGCACTTGCACAGCACTTTGGGAATTCCAAAATGCTTTCTTAACAGTATCTTCTTTGCTCTAAGTGAAGCATATTAAGTGTTAGGTTGGTTTAGTCTGAGCAGTGTTTCTCAAAGTTTCAGCATTATCTACAACAGACAGGGTGTTTATCAAATGAGGTGCCTGAGCCCCACCCCAGACGTAATGCAGAGACTCTGTGGAGGTGGTAACCTGGGAATCTGCATGTCCCTTTCCATCCAGATAATTCCAAAGTACACTGAAGTTCAGTCTCATGGTACACCTAAGGCTCAATGATGTAGCATCAAGTATATGGGATTTCAAGAATAAAATCCTGAATTTGAAAATAGATTCCAAGGCTTATTATTAGCTATATAATCTTTAAGCCTCTCAAGAGCTTAAGGCAACTACTGCATGATGGAAATACCCCCAACACCCCATACCCACCACCTACCTCACTAAGCTGTGGTAAAGATTCAATAAAGCCACAGACATGAAATTGCATTGTAAATGTACAGTGACATAAAAATGATACTAATTATAACCACTACTACATAGCAACAAATATACTGATAAACTTTACAAAACCTCCCAGGTGAAAATTAAGAACCAGACACAGAATATGTGTTTCACTATGAATAAAAATAGTTCAAGAGTTGTCTCTGCAACAAACTTTTCTGATTTCCATTGTACGTTTGGAAAGACAACTGAAAACCGACAGGTGGCTCTTGCCTCAGTGGTGCTTCTCCTCTTTCCCTCAAACACAGATTGCTGTGGGAGACTTCAGCACCCTTTCACTCACCGCCACTGCCCTCCTTTGCCCTACACCAAACTACTTTTACACTTTGAAAAATAAAAGTAAACTCTGAATTTTTAAATTAATGTTTGAAGCACAGTCCCTTCAGGGTAAAGAAATATGTAATGCTAAAACCTCTTAGACGTCTATTACCTCTTACTTTAAAAAAATGTCCTGTCACTTGCTGGCTTTGGAAGAGTCTAACCAATCAGAAAGAAAGGGGCTCGGAGAAAAATCAGGCTGACTGGGACACAGGGAGTCCTCAGAAAGGGACCAAGTAGGAAAGATTCACACAACCATAAATATTGGTAAAACCAATGAGAAATCTACAGAGTAAAAACTTAAGGTTTTTGACAGGCTTACGGTTGACATAATTTGACATCATAAGAATTTTTTTTTTTTTGTGGTACGCGGGCCTCTCACTGTTGTGGCCTCTCCCATTGCGGAGCACAGGCTCCGGACGCGCAGGCTCAGTGGCCATGCCACATGGCCCCAGCCGCTCCACGGCATGTGGGATCTTCCCGGACCGGGGCACGAACCCACGTCCCCTACATCGGCAGGCGGACTCTCAACCACTGCGCCACCAGGGAAGCCCTATAAGAATTTTGTTGTTGTTGTTATATTACGTTCCTTAAGCGTTTGGTGTTCATTTAGAATAGATCTCCTTTATTCAGCAGTCACTGCTTGTAGAATACTTTTCATCATCTTAATAAAATAATTTCATGGTTCCACTCAGCTAAAATACACATCCTAGATTTTGCTTTATGACTTACCAGGTGACGAAGTATCCAAAAAGAATAACTATCTGTTTTGCTCACAAAACATGTGGGGAATATAATACTAAGTTGGAAATCATTTTATTCTATTATGTGAACTACAATGTACTGCAGTGAAAAGCAAAGATGGCCTATGACCTCAAAAAGTCACTAAATGAATATTTCTGCATTCGTATAATTTTTGTGTTCAAACACAAAATAATCAAGTAACAAGCAAATCATCTTTTTATGTTAGGGAAGTTATTACTACCAAGTAAATATCTGTAGTCAAGATATTATAATGTGCTGACATTTTCATTTAAAAATATTACAGGATTCTTAGGAGCTTCAGTAACTAAATCAAGTAAGTCTAAGCTGAGAAGACATCAAATAATGACTGACTATTTTCATTGTAAGAAATATTATAAGAAATGCACAAAAATAATAGAGATCTGTATTATGAACATAGCAATGTAATTATACTATATTAAGGGAAAAGAATCAGTTATTAAACAGATTGTACGGTATTATTTTGTAAAAAGATAACTATTATATAGAGCTATGACTATATACAAGTGTTTAAAAAAGAAAAACTCTGAAAGGATATATACCAAAATGTTAATGGTGGTTTATTTCAAAATAGTGAGGTTTCATTATTTCCTTCTTTTTCTTTAAATTTTCCTGTTTTCTGAATTTTATTTACAAGCATTTTCATTAAAAAACAAAAATTAAGCAATCCTCGCTTCAAGGGGGGCAAAAAGTGAAAGCCAAACTCTTTAGCAAAGAAATGAAGCTGCTATTTTCATTTACACACACACACTTATTATAAAAATATTGTTACCAATATCTGAAAGCAAGATTACCAATAAGCAAAATGAGATCTTCACATTTCTAACATTTATATTCATGTGTTATTCATATTTTGAAGCATTTTCTTAATACATTTGTTCTATACATATATACCTTTACATGTATACACACCTGAGAGCATTGAGAAGACCTTCTACACTATTAGGAGGCTGGTCCTTAAGAACTTTGATACAACCTTTCATCTAAGTAGAAAAGGAAACGGAAAAGGTAAAACATCGATTTTTCATCTAACATTCATTCTCAAAATAGTTAATACTTAAACCAGCTCCATAACTATGCACTCATGAGAAATTACACACTAGAAATGTCAAAATAATTATTCTTAGAATAGGGGGAAAAAATCTACCTAAGTGTTATTTTCAGTTTGTCAATCAAACAAAACTTTTTGGGAATCAAATCAGACAAACTGAAGCACCACCCACACTAATGGGAAAACTAAGGGTTTACTAAAGGGAGGACTTCCTGGAAAAGGTGTTGAGTAGCCTTTTAAAGGACGGAATGAACACACTTGTAAGGAAAAAAGACACCTTCCAGGTAGACGAACCCCATTACAAAAGTAATAAAGTTCATCACATGCAGAGGACAGTATGTTGCAGGGCCGAGATGACTCACACAGGGGAGTTTACAGAGGGCCTCGAAAGGCAGAAGGACTCATTTGGAACTGACAGGGATGGCAGGGACTCATTACAGGCTATTTCGAAAAGGAACAACTCAATGAAAATGATCTGTAAGGAAGATGAGCCTGATTATCGTGAAAAAGCATAACACAGTAGAAATACCACAGGCTTTGCAAGCCATGGAGATGTGGGTTCGGAATCCACGTACCATTCACTAGCAATTATATTACAAACCTCTCTAAACTTTACTTCTCTGCTAGTACAGGGAAAATAGCACCTAGATCCTAAGAGTATTTTCAGAGTTAAATGAGAGAACAAATGTTAAAATTCCTGGGACACAGTAATCACTCAATAAATGTTGACTTAGTTCTCTTTACATAGAATAGATATGAGCGAAGGCAAGAAGACTGCCTAGTCATCAGTAGTCTACATGTGAAATGCAAAGAGCCTGAAGCTAGCTGTCAAAGGGTAACTGGAAGACAACTCTCAGTAAACTACAGGCTATAACTTTTATGAACCAGGTGTGAGAGCGAGGCGAGAACTTACGAAGCAGAGAAGCCCAGGCTACAGCCACAAAGCACTATGACTGGGAGGAGGAGGGAAAGATGCAGTCCTCAACTTTTTTCCCTGAGGCACCTCGACTGGCTTTTAATATACATTTGTAAGTAAATTATTTAAAATGGGCTTTGGCCAAAGGAATGAAAGGATACAATAAAAAAAAAATTTAGGTCTGATTATTTATTTACATATATTGCCAAATATGCAGAAGTATCACTTATCAGTACGGAGGAGATACTTTAAAAGACAGTACAGTTATCCTTCAATCATTCTATTCCATCTCTATATAGGCTATAAGAAATACCGCAAGAGAGAGGAAACCAAAATCCACTATTATCACGAACTATAAAAATAAATTCTGTGACAGAGTGCAGCTTGCCAGCTCTTTAAATAAAAGCCTATGGTTTCCACTTATGGAAACTATTGGTAATTATATAAAACAAATATAACTTACATCAATTTTTGAAGTTTTGGCAAATGCTCCCACTGGATGTACGTGGTCATAGAGTATTATGACGCCTACCATTACCCTCAAGCAGAATGACACTGTTTCTTCATTTGTAAATCTGCTTCTGTATTCCCTGGAGGATAGAAAAGATATGGATGGATGAGGCACATCACAAACTCATGAGCTGACTGATGCTCAAAGTTGTATTCTATTGATATCTAAAAGGGACACTAAGCTTATAGCCCCACCTTCTCTGCAATGAGATTCCCAGAGAAATGACGGGGGTGGAGCAGTTATCACTTACGTATTCTGGTCTCTATATGCACATTGGTATATTACCCCTTCTGCTTAGCGGAGATGAGACAATTTTAGAGAAATCAAAAGTGGCCCAGGGACTTCCCTGGTGGCACAGTGGTTGAGAATCCACCTGCCAATGCAGGGGACACGGGTTTGATCCCTGGCCCGGGAAGATCCCACATGCCGTGGAGCAACTAAGCCCTTGAGCCACAACTACTCAGCCCACATGCTGCAACTACTGAAGCCTGCACACCTAGAGCCAGTGTTCTGCAACAAGTGAAGCCACCGCAATGAGAAGCCCGCGCATTGCGACGAAGAGTAGCTCCCGCTCGCCATAACTAGAAAAAGCCCGTGTGCAGTAATGAAGACCCAACGCAGCCAAAAACAAATAAAAATTTAAATAATTTATTTTTTTAAAAAAAGTGGCCCAAAGTAAAATTTTGGGATGGGTGCTCTGAAAGGCTGTCATCAGCAATATGATGAAAAAGCCACTAGCTTAACAGAGAAAGTACATTTGCTATTTAGGGGCTAAGCTGACATTAACACATTATTGTGTTTACTGGATTTTAATTTCCTAAAATTCAATTATATTCTTCTCTCAAATGGGAAAAAGGAAACAGCACTTTTGTCTACATAAAAGGCAGCATGGCATAGCAGAAAGAGTCCAGAACCAGAATGGAGACATCCAAGCACATGTGTGAGGTCAGCTACTGTGCATCAGTCCCTTCATTTCCCAGGACCTTACTCCCCTAAATGAGAATGATGATAATATGATGATTAGCAGCTGCCCTCTTACTTCATAAAGTTTTCCAATAAGATGAGTATATAATAGTGCTTTGGAAAATAAAAAGCTCCACAAAAACTAAAGTTATCTAGTAAAACCATATATTATTCAGGAACACAGGAGGAATTCTTTCTGCCTGCTGACAGGAAAATCCAGAGAGAAAACACTGTGGTACATGTTACAAATGGCTTGAGAGAGAGGAGAAACCCAGAAGAGAATTTAGGTGAGTGTTGGGTTTAAAAAGAAAAGAAGACTGAGACCTAATATTGGGAGAAAGGGATAAGTAGAACAACTCCAGCCCTCTAGGAAAAAAGGGCAAAGTTCTCTATGAAAAGGGAACGATAATGTTAATGAGAGGCATAACCAGATGCGCTTTTAAGCTCTTCCCCTACTCCCAAAAAAGCACCGAAAAATCCCTATTCTGAAGAGTCTGACTGGTCGGACACACCTGAAAATCAAATGTACTTTATATGTTTAACTAGAACTTGCATTAAGCTGTCAAATTATTTTAGTTTTGTTCATATGTTAGCATTACATACTTGGGATATACTTAACTTCCACCTTCCAAATACAACTTATTCACATCTGGACAATCATTTCAACAGGACTGTTCAAGTGAAAAAGATCAGTGAATACTCACGGTGTTTCAAGCATGACTCTGCACACACTAGCCATGGTGCTTAGACAATCTGTGGTATTTTCTATTGGTAAATTTTTATTCTGTAAAAGTGTATGGAGAACAAAAAAGTAAGAGTGACAGTTATTACTCAAGAAAAATTTAAAATCTAGCAAAACATGAAAAATTAGCAACTTTAAAATTTGGTCCCTACTCTTAATTTTGTTAAAAAATGCACTAGATTCTAGGTACTGTCCTAAGCTCTGAGGATACAGCTATGAGCAAAACAGCTAAGAGCCTCCTTTCTCCCAAGTAGCCCTTACATTCTAGAGTGGAAACAACCACAATACGCAGACAAGGCCTCATAGCCACAAGGTACTTGGATTTGATGCTACAAGTACTGGGAAGTCACTGGAAACATTTTCAGCAGAGGAAGGGAATGTGGTTTATGTCTTAAGAAGATTACTTGGCTGCTCTCTGGAGAAAGGACTGCAGTGGGTCAAGAGTGGAAGAAATCAGAATAGTCAGAGCATGAATGCAGAAATCCAAGTGAAAAGCGGTGCGCTGATCTGGAGAGGTAGCTAGAGGTAGCAAAGGGTTAAGTTTTCAGATTCAGGGTATATCTTGTAAGAAGAGCCAATAAGACTGCCTTGCCTGATGGAGTGGAGGTAGGGGGTGAGATAAAGGAAGGAATTTAGGATGATAATCCTTAAGTTATCTGCTTGCACAGTGTTACTGTTAGTTGAGATAGGGAAAACTGGAGAAAAGGCGGGATTGGGAAAAACAATCAAGACTTCGGTTTGGTCATGGTACTACTGAGGTGTGGCTTATACATCCAAAGGGCTACTGCAAACAGGCGGTAGATGTGCGCACGTGGCCCTCAGGGAAGAGGACCAGACCCAGTGCACAAAGTGCATCTCAGTCTATCAGCTTAGATGGTCTTTAAAGTCATGGTCTCGCTCAGATCATCCTACCTTCAGACAGGCAGAAGAGTAACAATGCTTACCTCTGATACAAATTTTGTTGTGGCATCACTTAAGGTTTTCAGCATTGGGGTTGCCTCAGCATAAAACAAAGACATTCGATTTGCCAATTCATTATTTACTTCATTTTCTCCTTCTGCCTGTGTGGAAAATAAAGACACTTGATATCAGTTCATAAGTTATTAAATAATATTATAAAAGAGCCTAGGCAGGGTGCCCATCTAATGCTTGTTAAATTAATCTAATAAATACTCTTATATTTTAGACCCTCAAATGCACACAATACTTAAATACTCTTTAAAAATAGAAAGATTAAAAATAATATTAAGCCATTTTAAAAAAGATTAACTTCTTTAAAAATATTTTAAATGATATTAAGCAATTAAGTAAAACCTTGATGGGCTGCCTACTGTATACAAGGGATCATCCTAAATGCTATGGAGGATGGAACAATGCCTAGGACATCGTACCTGCCTCTATTAGGAGCACATAAGTACCCACAAAGCAGCCACAATAACATGCTAAGAGACAAGGGATGAAAGAGGGGGTGAGGGGAAGACTAAGTTAGACTGGAAGAAACTAAACTGGACTCATGGAAGAGTTTTTTTGTAGGTGATGATGGGCAGGCACACAAGGTATTCCAACCAGTCAGGCGGAAGAGTATGCTTTCAAATGCTTGGTAGAGTGTAAGTCAATGTAGTCAGTGTAGTAAGGGACAGCAACTACTGAAAGAAGGGCTGGAAAGCAAAGCTGGGGTAGGACTAAATCCTAGCTTAAGCGAAATCCTAGCTTAAGGTCATATTTTTCTTCTATATGTAATGGGAAGCCAGCCACTTACAGTGTCAAAAGAAAGGAATAACAATTAAGTCAATCTTCCAAATAAATTTAACTAATGATAGTGGGCAGATTGTACCAAAAAGAGACTGTATGTCAGAAAATAAGTTCTACAGCTATTATAGAATGGTTGCCAAAAAGAAAGTGGGTATTAGGCTCTCAACTGGGATAGAAGTACAAAGAGATGGAAAGGGGGGCAGTGAAGAGATGTGAGAGAGATGTCACTTGACAACGACTGGATTTACCTATAATTATTGAGAGCAAAAAACAGTGCAAAGATGATTTCAATGCCTTTGCCCTTGAAGCATGGCAGGATGGCTATAATAGAGGATTGGGTGGTTTATTTTATCTTATTTTACATGGTGAGTATGAAAAAGACAGATGATAAGGTCAGCCTCACAGAACAAACCAGTCTATGCAAAACCAAACTAATGCATATACCAGAGGCTTCATGGAAAAGAAATCTTTCTTCCAATCCAGGCCTGTCTTAGAGCAACCACTTCATAAAATATTTATTCAGTGGTCTCCTTTGGTTGTTTTTTCTTTTAACCTCTTATGCCACTTATCACTCCTTACAATCTTATATCGTATTTCTTTATTAAACTATCTAATTGAGGCCAGGCCTGACCCTAGGAATTTTCTATTTTTCATACCAATTGGCACAATATATTGATAGGTCCTCAAAATATCTGGAGAAAAAGATAGTATTTTCTTCATATTTAAGGTTTTACTTATGGCATTTGACGTCCTGGAGAAAAGAGTATTAAACAGCTTAAAATGAGGAGAAGTCAAGATGCTAACAAACCAGAAGAGATGCTATGCTAGCCAAGCAACAGGCACAGAAGCCATTTTCTCACACAGCCACGTCAGACACAGACATGCTCGACGTCCAGGACCTCACTTTCCCATCCTGCCAGTGTTAATACTTCTCCTGTCCCTGGTCAATTTCTCCCCAAGACTCTTCCATTCTAAGAATACGGGGACAAATAACTCATAACCGCTAATTCACACAATTTTTGTGCAGTTAAAATGAGAATACAAAAAGAAATTTTTAAGTATCAACGTTATATAGGCAAAAAGCAATTTTACTGGATTAGTTATGGAATAAGGGCCTGGGTGGAAAAATAGGTAAAAACAATATGGTTTGCTACATTTTGCTCTTTCTTCCCACAGCTGTGGATGCCCATAATTACTAACTTTACTACTAGCTTTAGCTTTATCTGAATGAATGAATGCATGAGCAAAAGATTAAACTGAACAAATTGAGAGCTGAATTATCATTACCACCCTGTAATTCAAAGCATTAACTTACTGGAACATTATTAATCCTCATACGACTCAATGTTCTTCTATAATAGCTGAAATCATTCTGTATGGCAGGATTTGTCATCTAAAGAAAATATTTATGAAAGAAAAAGGTATTATTTACTAAATATAGTACACAAATTAAGCGAAAGATCTACTAGTTATAATTAGTTAAGTAACATTCCCTAATTTGTAATATCATCTTAAGAACTAAAACCATTATCATCCAATATGACTATCTGCACTGAAGTTACATAACACCGTATTTCAGTCATTACTGAACACAGAAGACCATGCACAGTTTTTCAGTCACAGTCAGTATACTTTCTTTCTTTCTTTTCATTAATTTCAGGTAATATACTAAAAGGTTGTTTACCAAAAATGATATTACCAAACAAACAAAAACAAAAAGGAATGTATAGGCACTTATTTTGGGTTATTACAATAAAGTATATATATGGTCAACAGGGCAATCTTCAAACACACTAAAACTTTATATACAAATCATTTGTGCTCAAAGTATTAATAAAAGAGAATAATTGCCTACGATACAATGTTGATAAAAAACTGCAGTTAGGAATCCAGCTCTTCCACTTTCTAGACAAGATACCTGAGGCGCTGAAAACTCAAAGGACCTGCTTCATAATTGGTTACTGTGCCAGAGCCTAAAGTAGAACTAAGGTCTCCTGATATGGAATTTAGTGCTTCTTTCTTTACACTCTCACTCCTTCCAGCAAAAAGGACATTTATAGGTAGGTAGGTAGGTAGATAGGAAGGAGGGTGGTGAGAAAGAGAGAGGGAGAGAGGGAGAGAGGGAGGGAGGGAGGGAGG